GAGAAAGGACTGCAGAATGGAGACCACATAACTGCATTTTGAGAGCTTAGGAGGTTTTGGAGAATGAAGTAGGTCAAAAACAAATACTTTAGGTAGGAAACAAGGAACTGACCAAAATGGAGGGAGATAGGGATATAAAACTTACAGTGCCTTAAGCCTAGTTAATATAGAAATAAATTATTAATTAATATATAAATGATTGATAACAAAATATGAATAATGAATTAATGGAAAAATTAATATTGAAATATGCAAATAAAATGCATATGCCTTAAGCCTAATTAATATAAACTAAAAAGTTAAAATATTACATTTATTTCATGTAACTTTAACTAATGATTTGATCAGAAAAACAGCAAAAAAAGTTCTAAAAGCAGTTTCAATATGCTTTTATGAAAATGATGCTTCGTTCTGTAAAACACTCATTTCCCCTATTCTCACTGCCAACAGAACTAGCTGGCAGAGTAGTTTATTGTCCAGTGGACCCAACCAGTCTTTAATTTAACACAACTATGTAACATGTATATGCTCACTTTCACTTTTTAAAAATAATTTGGGCCCAAAATAAAATAATAATGATAATACATTAATAATTAATACCTTAATAATAATAAATATGATAATCAATACATTAATAATAATGATAATTACAGGTGTCTAAAAGTTTTCAGTTCACATAAATTATGTGAAGCTTCCAGGAAATCTCATAACTTTAAAAATGAAATTAAGTGAACATACTACTTTATAATGATAAACAGCATCCACTCATACATTCAGTTCATTTTTCTCAAAAATGTAAACCTATACAGAAATAATATTTGGAAAGATATCACACATCTGGTCAAGATTTTATAAATCTGGTCTATGAATATGTTCCCCAAAACTGCAGCAAACTTGCTACCACGCATATTTCTACCTACTCATCTACCAATAGCATGACCAGCCAAAGCATTAGCTAAGAACTAATGCAATGCTATTTAGTTTTTTCTGCATGTACACCCAGGCAATTCACATTAACGATGTGAAAGAACACTTAACAGACAACTCGAGTTTGCAAATTAGCAAGAGAGAAGAGAAAAATGACTCGGAACAACAAGCGTACAATATTACCAAATGCACTTTACACATTCTGTTAAGTGTAGCTTAGTTTTGATGATTTACAATGCTAGTTCTTACTCAGTTTTGTAAGCATAATAAAATCTATGTAATCTCAGCCTTCCCCATAGCACCCTGCTATTAAATCTTTGTTGAGAAGCGTGATGAGACCCCTCTGGCTTCCAGCCCTCCCCGCCCCCTGAGGGAATTGGCAAGAAATAATAGGGTTTGTGGATTAGTAAAATGAGAGGTTCTCTGTGCTTTTCCTTCTTTAAATACATATTTTGATAATCTGTCTTCTGCATCTGAGAGTCCCAACAGCATTAGGGTGTTGATTTCCCTCTTTTCCCAGCCTCCAGAAAAAAGACAGCAAGGCTGGGGCAAGACAGCGGTTTCCATCTACCGCTACAATTGAAGAGAGGGATTTGATTTATTCTTTCATCTTTCTCACTATTCCTTCAAGCAGGGATGATACATAATTTACTTACACATGTCAGGTTGTAGATTAGAGGAAAATTACACCATGAGACAAAGAAGAGAGAACTTATCTACATGTGTCACCTTGTCCATGGCTATCTTTAGGGACTGTTTTGTTCAAGGATGCTTGTCCAGAACAGTGTTCACATTCCAGAATGCCCCTCAGTGACAGAGTCCATGAATTGTGCATGTGACTCCCACAATCCCTGCACCTCAGCGTGGTGCACGGAGTATGAGTTCAGACCATCCTGATATCTACTCATGACTGACCTGGTGCTTACTCAATCCTATACTAGACCTTCAAATCTGGGTCTAGAATTTATCATCTTGCCTATTTGACCTTCACCTCCAAAGGCTTGGTCTGGTCGAGGCTCACTTGGCAAGACTGTACTGGGATTTCAAGACTTTTCACATGGAGTGAAAAGTCTTGTTTTCATCTAGGGAAAAAAAAAAAAAAAAAAAAAAAAAAAAAAAAAAAATTATAAATAATAAACAAATTTAATAAACAAATAATATTAAACTCTAGTTAGTTGGTTTGCTTATAATGGTGGTGTAAGTAAGCATTTTTGAAACTACTGAATGTGTATTCTAGATTCGAGCAAACAAATAACCATATTGAAGATGGTGGAGACCAGGTTTCTTTTTGTTAGAGAAGGCAAATATAGAAATGAAAAAGACTAGGATATACCTGAAGTGTTGAACTAGAGGTATCAATATGAATACATGGTTTTTATTTTAGAGAAAAATATGTATATGTGTATGTACTTATAATATGTGTGGATTCTATAAACTATATTACCTGTGTATTATATATATTATATTAAATATGCATATACATTTCCTAGTTCTGGTGGAGCAATGGTACACCCACAGCAATGAGCACACACAGTACCAATATTTTGGTTTCTAAATAACTTTGAGCTCTTAAAAGATCTGGAACTCTTTAAAAAAGGGGTGATTGCAGGATTAAAACAAGAAAAGAATGTGATGATCCTGGAGCATCTTTTTGCACCAGAAGCTAATAATGATGAAGACATATTAAACACACAGGATCCAGTTTGGAGGGACTGCCATTTGCTAAATCTAGAGCAATCTGGGCATCAAAATAATGAGAGTAATGAATTATGACTCACTGAATAAAACAAAAATCCAAAATTCCATGGTGATATGAATACACGAACAAACAATGAATGAAAAAGAAAATCACAGTAGGCCAATTAATAAATACTGTACAGAAATTATAGAGTTAAAATAGATACATAAACAGTGGGTGAAAGTTTGATAAAGATAAGTATATTTACAAAGTACCAAAGTATCTTCCCACAAATTACTTACTATACACAAAATGAAAGTGGTAACTTTACACTGGAGAAAGTTGGCAGACACCACCTTAAACAAGTATTCAAGGTTAATATTACCGACATTGGAACAAACTAACATCATGTACTTCCTGACCTGGTGCTCTGAGAAGACACAACATCACTTCATTGGTGTTCCTGCCACAAGTATATAACCTGAATTTAATCATGAAAAATCATCAGATAAACTCAAATTGATGGGCATTCTACAAAATAAACTGGCAGGTACTCTTCAAAAATGCCATGGGTGAGAAAAACAAAGAAAAGCTGAGAGATACTTCCAGGTTAAAGGAGGCAAAAAAGAAATGGTAATTAAATGTTATACATGATCCTGAGTCCTCGGTGACAAAAAAAGAATAGCTACTACAGACATTAGAGGGACAACTGTTGAAATTTAAATATGGATTGTGGATTGGGTAATAGTATCTACTGGTATTAAATGCTAACTTTCTCATTTTTGGTAAGTATACTGTGGTCATGGAAGAGAATATATTTGTTCTTAGGAAATACACAGAATATATTTATAGGGGTGTGATATTTTCAACCTTCTCTCAAAGGATTAAGAAAGAAACAATAAAGGAGAAAGAGAGAGAGAAAATGATAAAGTAAATGGGGCAAAATGTAAGCAATTGATGAATCAGATAAGTGGTATACAAGAGTTCCTTGTATTATTTTTGTAACTTTTCTGTAAGTTTTGAATTGTAGCAAAGTAAAATTTAACAAAAATAAAACATACAAACTACAAAAAAATATGTATAGGCCAATGTTTACACAGGCAATGTTAATTCTCAAACTTATAATAATGACATCTCTAAAAATGATAATGGGTTTTCTGAAAGAAAGAAGATTCTATGGCCTAATAAACTTGCTCACTATAATCCCTTCTTTAAAAGAAGAGCCACAGTGTACTTTAATAAAGAAGCCTATTTAACCAGATTTAATCCAACATTTCCACAATATTCTATTCAAGAAAACATGTTAAAGTGGAGACTCCATTAAAATCTTACAAAAATATAAATACTCTGTGGAAAACAGTTGGAGAACCACTTGTCAAGTAAATACATTTCCTGTACATGGTTAATTGAAGAAGGATTTGTGGCAGAAAAGTGAAAGAGAGAGAGAGAGAGAGAGAGCACGCGAGCGCGGGACATGTACACACACATTGATGAAGTGCTGGCTTCAAATAGTAAGAGAAAAATGATATGTATCTAAGAAAAGACATACCTAAAATGCCCCACCAGGCCTATATAGTACATTTTTATAGGATATATTTTTAAATAGGGTAGATATATGGCACACTGAGTTTCAGTTTTATTCAGCCATTACACGGAACATGCTATGTTTCATGTTATCTTAAATCTGACTCTCCCAGTGAACTGTATGGCAGAATAGCTTGCCAGCCTGAGAGAGTACCTGCTATAGGCCAGGTGCTGTGCTAGGTTCAGACACTGCAGTGATGACCAGATACTGTTCCAGCCATCCATGAGCTTTCAGTCTAACGAGAGAGATGCAAAAGTGAACACATCCAGGGAGAACTGTGGTATTTAAGAATAAGCACCTGATTTTATGTGAACATGAAAAGGGTGCCTAACTCAGGCAGAGAGAGATCAGTGAAAGTTTCCTTGAGAAGATAATATTTAAGATACTATAAGTTAATACATGCTAAATTTCTTTGAAAAATTATTCAAAAGGATTTCTTTTTTTAGTTTATTTTAGTCATCTCATATTAGGTTCTGCTCCTACAAGGAATCATTATAGTTAAAAAAAAAGAAAGAAAAAGAAAGAAAGGAAAAAGGAAGAAAAGAAAAGAAAATATACCCATAAGCTATTAAAATCTAGATGCAATTCAAAATCTAAGAACTATGACACCGAGGTTGCTCCGAACAACCATTTCAGAATTCTCTCAAAAGCACCTCTAGACTTACTGAAGTATTCAAGTGTAGGAGTAAAATAACTGGACGGAAAAAACAAAAAAAACCCAAAAAAAACCCACACACACATAAAGGAACAAACTGAAAAAATCAGAAATAGAACAGTGTGAGAAGACAAGAAGTGATAAGTATTGTTTACCTGTCAGTTGACATTGATTAATCTTGTGTTCTGTGATATCACTCAGTGATTCAAACACCTGGAGGCAGCTGTCACAGCTGTGCACAGCTTCGTCCTCCAACTCCTCCCCGTCTTCCGGCCGCTTCTTACAATCTATTGTCTCTCCATCTTCAGCCTTGTCTTCAAGTTTACAGTTGGGGTCTGAAAGAAAATCAAGACTGTAACTATGGGGTTTAAAGACAGGTTCTTTTAAAGTAACATTTAATTTTCTTGCTACCCAAAACAGAAACACCATTTTCCTTAAAGGTGCAGTAGGACATCTTCATTGCAGATTTTATTATAGAAGTGAGCTTGCCTAAACTTTTTCAGTTTATGGTTATTGGAGGACTTCTTCCTTTTTCCCACCTTGTAGCCCTTTTCCTACTTCTGCCTTCAAATTACTCGTCCACCCATAAGATTAATTTGCCATTTTTAAAAATAGTCTTTTAGGACTTTTGCTTGAGAGATAAGTCACGTGTAAAATTAAATAGTCCGCAATGCAAAGGAAAAAAAACTCCCACTGTGCTTAAGAATGAACCTCTTTTCTACTAACTATACTCTTTCATGGGAAATTATCAGAATTAGCCAAAAGTCTAGAATAAGCTAAGCTAATTACCATAGGCATGAAATTGACCTTTACTTATAAACTGGTCAAAACACATAGTTATTCCATTATTTGTTAGACAGCAATAGCAAAATAAACTCTACCACATGGCAAAACATACTTACAATCACAAACTCAAATGTAAATACATTAGTGTATGTCTTGTTTCCAAAATTATCTCCCCAAAAGTAAAATATATATATATATAAAGAGCAATTATAAATTATAATCAAGCCAACAATTAAGTTGGCATTATCAATGTTGAAAAGCTAAATGTATTTCATTTATTATTTATTATTTATTTTTATTTATTTTGTCGATAAACAATGTGGTTGATTATTGTGGCCCATAAATAAATAAAAAGTAAAAATAAAATAAAATCTGAGACAAGCAGTCTGAAATAAAGGAATATCATTCTAAAAAAAAAAAAAAGAAAAGCTAGATGTATTGTGAAAATTAAAATTGTTCCATTTTTTTTTTTTTTTGTCTCTTTTCGTGTCCGGCAACGGATCGCAACCCTCAGTGTCGCGCCCATACCGGACCGGGACCGGCAACGGGATCGCAACCCTCGGTGCTGCGCCCCGCACCTCGCTCAGCCAGTGAGCGGGAACCGGTCTGTATGTGGGATCCGAACCGTCGGCAGGAGCGCCACCGCGCTCCCAAGCGGCGCACTGTAGCAGTGCGCCACCGGGCCGGCCCCAAAATTGTTCCATTTTTAACCCTAAGAATGATACACAAACAGCAGGAGGAATAAGGGTAAAGCACACATAACGCTTTTATTCAGAGCTCAATAAATACTTTTGGATTACTTATGCTGTCCTTTGACTCATTTTAGAGAAGTACCCCCAAACACCTGGGTGCCATTGCTCCTTTGCAGGAAAGCAAAGGGGTAGGAGTGGGGGATGAGGGAAGGGAGAGAAGGAGCGAGAG